TAGGGTCAAAGAAAGGCTTTCTTTTATATAATACTTGGACCGGGCATATCCTGCACAAAACAAGTTGTGAAGCAAATTGAAATCAGTCATTCACAAACATCTTGTAAGAGCAATCCTACTTCGCACCTCCAGAACTGGTGCAAAAAAGTAATAGTTTATAGTTTGAAAGCTCGCGCGGCAAAATATGAACACCGGCGCGCAGTCGCGCGAAAACCAGCCACGGCCCATAGTAGGGAGCATTAATAGCCAGCAGACCGCTTGTTCATACTTTGGCGCGCAAGCGATCTGACTACAAAGTTCTCAGCGCGGACAACAGGTACAAATACCCCTTCTAATTACGTGTCGTATTTATCCTCGTTCTTTCATCCGCATAGCAGCTGTAGAAAAATATTCTACAAAACAAAAAAAGTTGTCCTGACTTGGTGAACATCCATTCGGTCCTGGACAAGCCATTGTTGTGATATTGAGTACAGCAGCTACGATATCATCAGAATTCGTAGATACGACCGGAGGATACCAGTAGTTCTTGTTTGATACTGTAAATGCATAATAGACGAACACACTACTGCCTTCTACTTCGTAAACCAACCGGAATCAAATGGGTAGAGGACGAATTTCGAGAACCAGCCCTTGGTAGTGGGATCAGTATTGATTTTTTCGAACGCAGCTTTCAAGCTTCTTTTCATTTGGAAAATTGTTGCGCCCATGTTGTACGAAGTTTCAAGCATGATGACGAATGTGCGATCTAGTGAGATACCGCATTTTTTTTTAAACTGAGCCTTGAAGGGAAGATGCTTACCGACATCAGAGAAGGTCGTAGGATAAGGTGGAAGGCAAAGTGCTAAAAAACAATCAGTGTTAAATAAATGGTCCCGAAAATGATGATTCTCAAGGTGATCGATATGTGATAGAATTTTTCTTTACCTAGTTCGCAGAAGGTGCCAGTATAAGCGGGGAGACATTCGCACTTCGTTCCATTTACATAACCGTAGTTTAGACAAATTGGAATTGCACAACTGGAAGAAAAGATGCTCGTGGAACCAGCAAGAGATCTTGGTTGAGGATGGCGATGTATTTTGATATGTATTGGAGGGTTGCATAGTCAAGCAAATCGAATTTCGTTGTGAACACTGCATTTGATTATGAACTACCAGTAATTTTATCGGAGAAAGGAGAGGACGGCTGATCACCTGTTCAAAGCAAAATGAAAA